ATGTCATATATAATATCATTACACACAAATTACAATAAAAAGAGTGTTAATTATTATTGAACGACTTACCAAAATACTTAATTTTTATTTTATAGTTTATAAAATTAATAATTGTATTTGTTCTATACAATGATATAATAATAAGTTGTGAAATTATGTGACCTAATGAAATTGAGCAAACTAAAATTAAGTATCCAAGAAATGAATCATCATATTAATCTTTTTATATGATAACTTAAGAAACGACTAGTAACCAGATTTATTTCTAATGTCCTACTTTATTGCAAAATTCACAATAGAATTTATTTGATCGCCTAATTTTTGTCGGAACAACTTATTTTAATATAAGTTGATAAACTAAAAAGTTGGGCACTCCTTCAAGAAATTGTCTTATCAGTTTTTTTCAAAATCATGTATTATAATCAAACTAGAAAAATAATCGTGCAATGCAACAAAACGTATCTCGATTTTAATGTTTCGTTTTATTTTTTTTATCTCAATCAATATTATAATACGGTTTATGTGGTTTTAAGAAAACGATAATGTTTTTATTTTTAAATAAAATATAAATATGAAGGTATCATAAAATTTTGAAAAGTATATATATTGATATTAGTATCAACCTAATTAACATGTCCCCTTTTTTTTGTGTAGTTTCTTTAATTAATTTTTTTTTTATTTTTGGTTTAATAATATATTTTTTTATTTATATTTTAGATTTTTTATATTTAAAATGAGATATTTATCATATATTTGATTATGTTTATCTATAGTTATATACATGAATTCAAACATGAAGCTTTAATCAATTGTACTTACGCACAATTTACTTGTAATCTTGAATTTTAAGTAATATGCATCAATAAACAGTATTTAATGCATAAAAATTGGTTTTTAAGAGTTTTTGTCAAATATTTTATAATATAATATAGATACACACACGATATGTATGCATATAAGTGGAAGTTCAAACTTGAATACCTTCACAAGAATCCTTATCACATGTCATGTTACATGTGAGGGGACTTGGTAGTGTGTGCTCACATCTCTCATTTAATATCACATGTGATTGACTTCCGTTTTCATCTAAAATGAGAGTATTATCGTTTGAAAATTTTCATATATATCGAAATAACATCAAAGCTTATACTCCCATACATAGTTACGTAATGAAGTATTAAGGTATATTAAAGAGAGTATATCCAAAATTCTATTTAACTAGTTTAATAATGTGATTTAATTAATATATATTATAGGAAATGATGGGAGACAAGGAATGATGACAGAGTTGATGAAGGAAAGCAGGTTGATGGATCTGCTTAACAGTTCTGAATATGTTCCGAGCTATGAAGATAAGGACGGTGATTGGATGCTTGTCGGTGATGTCCCATGGCAGTATGCATCTTCAACTCCTCTTTCCTTTTTACCACCCACACCCACACCCACACCCACACCCACACCCACATACATCTATTGTTTTATTTACAGGATGATTGGACAAAATAGTCATTTACTTACTTTCTGATTTATCCACATATCATTATATTCGTAAATCTCACATCCTTTCCATGTGGATCCAATTAAAAGATAGAAAGAAATTATCATAATTTACCCAGTTTTACAATTGTAACGGTCATGTTCGTAATTGCAACGGACAAATCTACAATTTGATTTTTTTTTTATCTTTTAGTTAGATCGACAAGTGACAGATGGTTGACTTGTAAAGGTAATGATATTTGGATAAATCGAGGAGAAGAATGACTAAGAGACCAATTTATATAAGAAGAATGACTATTTTGACCAATATAACTTTTTGATATGCACATAGCTCTTCCCATTTGCTATTATTAGCTGCAAATTTCTATGAGTTAATTAGTCATCGGCTCGTAATTTATTCATTTTTGGTATAAAAAAAAAGAGTTGATTGATTAGATAACAATGTAATAACCTAAAAGAAATGTTAAAAAGTTAAGTTAAAAAGTATAAGAGGCAATTGGGAAAAAAGAAGTAGTTGATAAGCTAGTAACGTTATGTAAAACCTAGTTGATCACTACCAGAAAATTGGGTTTACGGTATGCCACCAATTTCTAAGTATCATAATAAAATGATTTATAAGACTTAATTTATAGGAACAAAATATAAAGTGTTCTATTTAAAGGGTTTATTAATAAGTTTGTAAGACGTTTTTGCACGTCTTAGCTAGTTTTTTAGAACAATTTTAATACAAAATGTCGTATTAGTTATTTTATATGACACTTTTGAGAAAATGTCCTATAAACTCATCTTTTTATAAGCCACTTGTTTTTATAAGACATTTTTTCAAATAGTTTCCTATATAAAATAGCTAATATAACATTTTTATATATTTACGATGCTTAAAAACATGATTAAACTTATTGTAATGCCATAAGATAGAAGGCTTTATTTTTTTTTTGTCCTATAAATTAAGTTGTATAAAATGGTTTATTAGGATCCATCTTTCTTCAAACGGAAGGAACAGAGATAGAATCAAACTGATTCCCGAAATGCCTTTCTGGATATTCCTCAATGTCCCAACTATTCATGAAACATGAGAAGCAGAGCAGATGATTAATCATCTGCTTTTGAAAAAAATCGAAGTTTAGGAATTTTTGACATCTTAAAAACCCAATTTTGACATTAGACAGGGTAAAGGATAATGTAATTGAAATGCCTAAAATGTTTTTGGTCATTTTTGTAAGATATGAAGGGTAATTGGATAAGAAACACTAATAGAACTTGTTGAAATGTTACGAATAAGACTTTATAACTGGTAAAAATGACAAAAATCTATCGAGGGGCCAATTTATGTGACAATTGTAAAAAAATTGAGAACCATATGAATATATATATATATATATATATATATATATTATTGATACATATACTAGTTTTGTACTTACGCACTGCAGCGGGAGCCGTGAATTTTAACGATTTTGATGTTTCACTGGTTTTATTAGAGAAGATTTAACGATGATATAAGTTACATTTGGTTTTTATATATTAATATAATTTGAATAAATAAGAGTTATGGTTCCAATTACAATCTATCGATGAAAAAAATTGTATAGTAGTTTAAAATCTAATATATTTAAAATCCACATATTTAAACGGCTCCACGAATGTTTTCGATTTACACAAAGAGCAAAGAATTAAGAGATCGAGAGAGAGAGACCGAGAGTTCTAGAGCAATTGAATGAGAGATGAGTGGGAGAACTTTTAATAGCTCATGCGAATATCAGTTTGAATATCACATTGGGGGATGGAAAAAAAACATAGAGGTATGAGATGATGAAGACATGAGTGAAATGTGTCAAAAGTATATTGAGAACATGAAAAGTAAAAGTAATAATGTGCATTGGTAACTTGTACTATATGATATTTTAATTGTAGATTAATAGATTTTAAGACTGAATGCATAAAGTAGTGGTAATTAATGCAGTATGAGTTATTTTTACGATTTTTAAGACTTTGTGCATAAATGTATATACTTTGTGTATTAAAAAATGTTTTTAAAACTTTTGATAAATCTGGTTTATAAGGTAGTATATATATTAATGAATATTGATCTCTATAGCCATCAATGCATATATATACACCTTCCATATATAGTGTAAATGTTGATGAATATACTCACGGAACGAAGGCATATTTTGATATATATTGCAGAATCAATGAATATAAATGTTCTCCTTAAATTTTTTATGGTTCTCATATGAACTTGTGTTAGTCTATTGAATTTTAGTAGCAAGTATCGTATATGCATTTGTATCCTTATGACTTCTGCTCGTTTAATTTCTTGCAGAATGTTTGTTGATTCATGCAAACGGCTTCGAATAATGAAAGGATCCGATGCGATCGGACTCGGTAATTACATTAGAAACTTCATATTTATGCATGTTTGTACATTTTGAATACATTTCTTAGATGTTGTTGAATTAAATTTCAGCACCAAGAGCCATGGAGAAATGCAGGAACAGCTAAGATCTTCATCAATCATCAATATTTCAAAAAACATGAATCTGATTTTTTGTTTTTGTTTAAAGTTTGATATCTAGTAAATAGATATGGGACATTTGTAATCAGAATAAGCAATGAGTTTGGGTTGGGTTGAATTGTTTAATAATGATTTTTTTCTTTTATTATGTTATTCTTATTTTTAATTCCATTTAGTTATAATTAAACTTATTTTCTGATACCCAAGATTCTTGATATCTTTTAAATTATTATTTTAATAAGAATTGTTTAATTAAATAATTAAGCATGGGATTATACTGGTGGGGAAGGAAACAAGGGCATGTGCATGTTGTCATCCGTGGCCATTGTTTATAAATGGGTTAAATATGTTTCATCAATTATTGCATTCGCATGATGAAATGAGTGTTTCGTGTTAAGGGGTGTTTTAGTAATTTACTTTCGAGCATTTTATTTATGAAGATGGGTACATCCACATGCATGTGTTGGGTTGGAATTTTTCCATATGTTGTCAATCTTGTTCTTCAAAAAAAATTGGTAAATCTGAAAATGTAGTCGTATATACAATTTAGTTGTAAATGATTTTCTAAAATTTTGGCAAATCTGATGAAAAGCTTTCTCCTAAAGTATCATATGTACCTTTAGAGACATTTTCATTTTAAACACAGATATAAAGCCGTGGTAGAAAATGGAAAAACCGTTGCATATATTAAAGACAAATTTTCATTTGAGAAACAGTTAAAAATATTTTATAGAGAGGTTTAATGTTTACAGGCTTGGTTCAAAATTTAAAGGTGGTTTTGGAGAAAAATAAAAAATTTAGGGTTCGAATGAAGAAATTCGGGGACAGTTATACCCGAGGTGGTTTGTCTAAATATCTAGCCTCCAAGACTGGTCACATACACCATAATTCATCCTGAATCATAAATTAGGGGCTTTCTGGCAGATGTTGAAGGATTTGTTGCAAAATGATTAAGTGATCAGAATAATTAAGAGTTTTTGTATGTGATATACTGTTGGTCCTATAAGGGTCTACAAGAATAGAAACAGTTTGTAGAAGGGGGGGGGGGATGAATACAAACACAATATTTTCTAATTTAAAATATATATTGATAGAGAAGATCAATACAGATTTTACAAGACTATTTGCGGAAAGATAAGGTAAAGAAAACATATCTAAACAATCTTTGGATACACACAGATCTTTAGAAATTACAAGAAAAGAGACTGCTAAAAGGAAGATCTTTTACTTAAGCTAGAAGATGCTTGAAGTAAGAAAAAGATAGCAGAGAGATGCGCGCACTCTTCATGGAGAAGAAACACTTCTATTTATACCCAGTGCATTAAATGAACATTTAATGCAATACGGTAGGTTTAGAGTGCGTGTCAAGCCTTAAGAGGAAGGCTTGTCCTTTGCTACAGTGAATAGTACAAAAACACTATTTTTGAGCAGACATCCTTGCCTAAAGTTGGTGGACAAAGAGTCGACTAATCGGCTCTGTACCGTACTAACTTTTGCAAGGATATGGGTTTGTCCTTTGTGTGCATAAGGAAAAGACAACAACAATCGTGCTAAGCAAACTTTCTTTGATTGCTGAATGCTGGAATGACCTGGAGGTCTCATCATCATTCGCTGAAGCTAGAGCAGTCTTCACACATATGTAGTCAGGCTTGTAATCACTGAAT